CCCTATACCCCTCAACAGAATGGCCTGACTGAAAGAAAAAATAGAACACTTATAGAAATGATAAACTGCATGTTGTTAAAAGCTAATGCACCCTTAAACCTTTGGGGGGAAACACTTCTGACAGTCTGCCATTTACATAATAGAATTGTTTCTAGAGCTAATAACAAATGTCCATATGAATTATGGACAGGAAGAAAGCCTAATTTAGCATATCTAAAAGTGTGGGGGTGCTTAGCATATTATAGAGTTCCAAATCCTAAAAGAACCAAATTAGGACTCAGAGCTAAGAAAAGTATGTTTGTTGGATATGCAGAACATAGCAAGGCCTATAGGCTTCTAGACTTAGAGTCTAACATAATAATTGAAACTAGAGATGTTGAGTTCTTTGAAAATAAACAGTGTTCTGAATCTACAGAAAATGAATCCACAGAAAATGACAGAGAAACTCAGATCTCAATACCTGTTGATAATAATGAAACTGAAAGAAGAAATGACACAACTGTAACACCTACAGTAGGACTTAGATGAAGTCAAAGACAAAGAAAAGATAAACACTTAGGTTCAGATTTTATCTCTACTCAATCAATTGTATTTTTGGTTGAGGCTAATAGAGAGCAGATTTTAAATAAGATACCTATTGTCATAAACATTGAAAATGATCCAAAAACCTATAGTGAGGCCATGACCTCTAGAGATGCTGTCTTTTGGAAGGAAGCTATAAATTATGAAATTGATTCAATAATGTCAAATAACACAAGGGTACTAGTAGACTTGCCTACATGATCAAACCAATAAAATGTAAATGGGTGTTTAGAAGAAAATACAACACTGATGGAACTGTACAAACTTTTAAGGCTAGATTGGTAGCCAAAGGATTTAGTCAAAAGGGATTGATTACTTTGACACCTATGCACCAGTGGCTAGAACAACTTCTATTAGAACACTCATAGCATTAGCATCTATTTATCACTTATTTGTTCACCAAATGAATGTTAAAACTGCTTTTTTAAATGGTGATTTAAATGAAGATGTTTATATGGAACAACTAGAAGGATTTGTTCTTCCTGGAAACGAGAAGAAAGTCTGTAAACTGGTTAAATCACTATATGGATTAAAACAAGCATCTAAACAGTGGCATGAGAAATTTGATTCTTGCATCTTAGCTTTTGGTTTTAAACATAATAGTGTTGATAGATGCATCTACTCAAAATTCACTGAAAATTATGGAGTAATTGTGTCTTTATGTTGATGATATGCTTATTGTGGGTACAAATATGGTTGGCATAAATGAAACTAAAAACTACTTATCCTCTATTTTCAAGATGAAAGATTTATGAGAAATAGATACCATCTTGGGAATAAAAGTTAAAAAGCATAGTAGGGGCTATGCATTAAGCCAATCACATTACATTGAGAAAGTACTTGAGAAATTTAATCATTTAGGGTTTAAAGAATATAGCATGTTATATGATTCTAGTATAAAGCTAGTAGAAAATACTGGTAGAGCAATTGCACAACTTGAGTATGCTAGTGCAGTAGAAAGCTTGATGTATGTTATGCTTTGTACCAGACCTGATATTGCATTTGCAGTAAGTAAAATCAATCGGTTTACAAGTAACCCCGGTGCAGAGCACTGGAAGGCAATTTGGAGAGTTCTTGGGTATCTCAAGAGAATCTTGGAACTTTGCTTGTTTTATTGTGATTATCCAGCTGTACTAGAATGGTGCACTGATGCAAGTTGGATTACCGGTAATGGAGATAACAAGTCCACATCTGGATGGATTTTCGTCCTTGGTGGAGGTGCAATCTCTTGGGCATCCAAGAGACAAACTTGTATATCTCACTCGACCATGGAATCTGAATTCATAGTCTTAGCGATTGCTGGAAAAGAGACTGAATGGATTAGAAATTTATTATTGGATATAAAACTTTGGCCTAGTCCTATGCCTCCAATTTCCATTTACTGTGATAGTGAGGCAACTCTGTCAAGGGCCTACAATGGTACATACAATGGTAAGTCCAGACATATAAGTCTGAGACATGAACTTGTTAGGCATCTAATTCAAGATGGAATCATCACTATAACCTATGTGAGGTTAAAAACTTGACCGGTCCTCTTACCAAGGGCTTGGCCAGAGAATTGGTAAGAATGACAACCAAAGAGATGTGATTAAAACCCTTTACTTAGTCACCTGTAATGGTAACCCAACCTGAACTGRAAAACCATCAGTATTGGGTTTAATGGGTAACAACAAGTTACAGCAATGTGACTATTAGCACTGACATTGAGAAATTTACCATCACAACATAAACAGTGTTGTCCGTTATAATGAGAGGTTGAGATAAACTCTTAATAAAGTTCTAAAATGTGTCAAATAACGAAACACATAGTGGAATTTCACCTATGTGAACATAGAAGTGGTGCCATTCTCATGAGGGTTTGGGTTTGCTCTTGGGATTGTTCATGAAACCAGGAAAGAAGCACATGACCATAATAGTGCTGAGCAAAACTTGAAACTCTTGCAGAGACTAAACATTTTTGTGTGTATAGATGTCTCCGGTCTGTCTTGAGAGTAATTGGTTTAAGGTTTTACCCCCAATAACTTTGACAAGGCTCTGAGATAACTATACTAACAAGAGGTTCAAGTTGATAAACACCTTTTGTATGCATAATTGTGTCATAGTAGTTTGGATTGAGAGAGAACTATGTAATTGATCAATCAATGCGGGGGATTGTTGGATTTTAATCTCATAAGAGATTAAATCCAATGGGTCTGATTGGTCAATTACATGAGAAATTGCACCTGCACACTTGATTGAAAAATTAGTTTTTCTCTTACAAAACCTAGTTTTGAACTTGTTCCACGTTGGAAAATTATAAGTTTTGTTTTTAGTATTTCAATAGAAGCTGATTTACACTCCTAAGAATTAGTAGAGGAGAGTATGGGGATTCGATACCACGCAACGCGCGCGCACGCGTGTGCGCACGTGTGTGCGGCACAATGAGGCGCTTTAGAGGTGCATTTTGCTCGCACTTCATCAACGTTTACGATTCGATTGGGTGTGATCAAGAGGCACAATTCAAAGTTAACAGTCACTAACTGTTAACTACTTTTTAAACAGTTACAATGTTTGAAATTGTGACTGTTCAAGGTGCCTTCTCTAAACCAACACCTACATTTTCTTCATACCTCTTCACAAATTATTTAAGGAGCATGAATCAGACTCCAAAACACACAATTTTGAAATTCACACACTCTCTCTCTCTCTCTTTGTCCGGTCTGCTACAGTCTCACAGAAGGTTCCTTTGGAGACTCTTCAACTTTGTTGGTTGCAGATTCTTGCCCAAGGCTCTGTTGTATCCTATGAACGAATTTTCTTGTAACCCAATAGAAAACTCAGTAAAACTAAGTGGGGGCAAATAACGTTCTAAAGACAGTGTCTTCAGACGCACCTCAGAGCTTCTCCTCCAAAGTTACGGTGACCCCATTCTCTCCAACACTATAGCTCGGGGAAACGTACACCTCTCTTCTCGGCAACAAGAAGAGGTCGTCAACACACCATGGGTTGCCACCACCTCTTGTCATTTTTACCCAAATCCTTTCATTCCACCCAAGAATCAAGAATGCTCTAACAACAAGATGTCTTGATCTATGAATCTTTGAAACCCATATTGTCTCTCCATCTTGTTCTGGTATGCATGGCCAGTTGATGAGGAAGAGAAGGAAAGAATCACAGTTGTAGGAAGGGAAGATCATGATGTTCAAAGAAGTGGAGAAAAAAACTTCAATTGACCTTTTCAATGGATGCATCAACACCATCAAGATTCAAGAAAAAGATATCAAGCAGAGTAAAGAAGTTTCCTCTTTCTGTTTTTTACTTGTTTATTTTATGAGTCATTTGGCAAGTTTTTTTGAAAGATCTTTTGGAAGTTCAGACAGTCAAACTGTACACACGTCTTTCTGTGCGAAGATGAATTGAAAAAAGGCGAAAAAGTTTATTTAAAGCTTCCCAAAAATAGCCTAAAATGGGCTTGGTGACTATATATTTTCCCAATCAAACAGAAAAAGACCAAAACGCAAACTATTGAGCTTTTAAAAAGCTAACAGCCCGCGTGAAAAGACATGCCATACGGGGCCAATTTTCTGTTCTTTATTTATAGGGTAAGGTGGAGTTGGACCAATAGATTATTGGTCCTTAACCTAACCTTATGGGTGCCACCAGGGGGTCTTATCCAACAGCTTTTCTCCAGGCCAAGAGCCAATCCCTCAAGGCAAATTTTTTTGTTTGATTGCGGAGCTCATCGGATCTCCCCAATTAGAATGTGTATAACGGTGTAGTTTTATTTATTTATTTTTTTTGTTTCAATAAAATGTGACGACAAATTGCAAATTTGTTGTGTAAAACTTGGTTCAAATTCAAGTGCAATCATGTCAGATTTTATTTTCTACATTTTGTGTCAAACTTCAAACAATACTGGGCTGAGCTCAAACCCAAGCACAATTTTATTGAAATTATTCAAATCAAGCAACCCAATTTGCACCCTTACTATGAACCCAGGCCTAAAGGTCTCCAAAGAATCCAACCAATGCTTAATTCATACAGTGGGTTCAAAACCGGATGCACATCCTACAATATGCACCAAAACATTGCGATATTTTGAACACATTTTGCACGTAAATATAAATTATTCCCAACAGCTTAACATGCTTAACTGCAATTTATTACTTCACACAAGATGTTAATGTATGTATTTTTTCTATCTTTCATCAAATAATATGTATTTTTCTATAATATTTATACCTCATTAATAGCCAATTGAGCTTTAGAATTTGCACCATTGATGTATTCTTAAGATTTATTTCTATGAATGCTTCCCAAATGCATCCTTGCTATATTAATTATTTTGCAATGTTCAAACATTTTCCAAACGTGTGTAGCTGCTCCCAGGATTAATTGCTCTTTGGAAGTTTCAATTCAAGGCATCAGGCTCAGCTTCATTCTGTAAGACACGGTTCAATCTCTCTGCTCAGGAAGATTATATTACTACAACTGAAGGAAGTATATATACAACCTTCCACCCATGCAGGCGGAATATCAAACCAAAAATCCAAAGATAATTGTATAGCTTTTTGAGCCAGTCTATGAGCAGGCTCATTAAACATTCTAGGATCATAAAGGCCATAGACCCAAGAGACGAACATGTCCTAATTTCATCAACTATCAAAAGAGACCGCCAAGACAAATCTCGACTGGCAGATTTTAAAGCCAAAATGGTTGTCAATGCACCAGAGAAAATGGCAGCATTCTTCCAACTCTTTTGATGAGCCAGTCTGAATTGCTTTTATAATCGCCAGGAACTCTGTTTCCTCTGCTAAACCATGGGTCCTTAATTTACCTGCAGCATCACCAATGAAACAATGGTTATGGGAAAAAGAAACAAAACAAACAAGAGGCTGTAGAAGGATTATAATAAGAAGCCCAGGAAGGAAGCAATTTATGAGAAAAGGAAATATAAGATGAATCATACAAGCCTACAGATACACATTTCTTATGCTCCTAATCGTGAATAGTCCAACAGACTCGTCTAAGTAACCAGAAAAGTGATAGACTTATTATCAAACAGCAAACAATTTCAATGAGAATGCCAGAAACCACAATTAAATAAAATTTCAATGCATTGTTTTTGACAAAAGGATGCTTGCAAAGCTATCTATTTTTATCAGTAACCAAAACGCAAAAGTAACACAAACAACTTAGGTCTTTCTCATCACACCCTGTCCATGTGACACTATGCTTTTCACGATTTGCTCACATCCCAAGCCAGAGCTAAAAATATTTGTTGATAAAACAGATAAAACCAGAAGTTAAGAAAATTATGTTACCTGGATACAAAAAGAACAGGGTTTTGGATATGAAATTTAAAATAAAACTTCAAGTATCTGACACAATACACCACCCAGCCTTGGACAGGTATCTGGGAGTCATTGTGGGAAAATATTAATGCATAGAGCAACTAAGACCTGCAGCCTAGAACAGAACAGCCTGCAGAATAACAAGCTCAGCTATTGTGAATTTTGTTCTTTCTCATAAAAATGACCTTTCGCGACTAAGGACAACTTTCCTGTTATTTCTCCATTCTTTCTTTTTCTCCTTTTCTAGCAAAAGATTCAATTGATAAATACCCTAAAAAGAAACAGAACAAGTAATCCAAAATGTCCAGGACAGTCTACTTATCTGGAATTCTCAATGGGATTAATTGTAGCATCAATAATAAATGCTTCATGTTTGGCTGCCCTATGAAGATAGAACCTAAAGCATGATATATAATTAAGGAGCTAGTTAACATCAATCAGGCATAAACATGATCTCAAGCAAGAGAAAGACCAATTGTAAATGATAGAGAGAAATTCATGCCAAACATGTTGATGAAATTTTCCAGAACTAAAATTTTCAGATATAGGTCCTCCAAAGGACTTTGGTGTATTTGACTACCTGACCTTCTGCTTAAAAAAATAAAACCCTAATCAACTCTCTTCTGATGTCATGTACAAACTTCAGCCAAAAGCTCTTTCTACATACCTGGAAACTATATGCAAGTTTATCTATCTTCTCTTTTGTGTTTAAAAAGGAAATTGCAATTTGAGCATTGAATTGTAATATATTTAGAAAATGAATGCAATCCATCTGATTATTACTATATAATTTCAAAGTATGATCAGTGGACTTCTCTATTGTCCTTCTAGAGATATATTCAATAAAGAATGTTTCTGAAAAATGAGCCATTAACCAGAAACTGAAAGAGAGGGGACAACAGGGTGCACTTTAGAACTAAAGCCGACATAAGTCCATAGAATAACTTAATAAATTAATTAATCACAATATTCAAACAACAAAACCAAGATTGAGATCTATCTACAAATCCCAAAAAGAGACCCATATTCAAATCAAATTTGAGAAAAAAAAACACCAAATTTGCAAACAGAAAGAAACCACCCCTCTAAAAATTGAAAGGGAATTCCCTGAATTTAACCAAACAAAATGATTGACATAAAAAAAAAAAAAAAACTTTTGCCAGCATTTCAAGAACCCATCACAAAGCTCCTTAAAAGAAGAGAAAAAGAAAAGAAAATTGAACAATCAACAATCAATTCCACAAACCCCTCCGAAAGGAAAGAGAAGAAAACACAACTTTTGATGTCAAATCTCTATGTTATTCTCTAAGAATACATCTATTTACATCAACCGTGTATACATACAGCTCAGCTCTCATAATTACAATTTTTCCATCCATTCGACAATCTCCAGCCAGAAAAAGAAAAGTGTAGAGAAATCTCCAAAATAGAAAAAAAACAACAAAACAAAAAAAAAAAAACAGATTCAAGCTCTGTAATGGTGACCGTATAAACTGTTATTACATGCTGACCATATAAACTGTTGTCTCCCATAGAAGTGCCTGTATTGTCTCTACAAACAGATTCAAACTCTGTAATGGTGGAATGTACAGTGTTAAAGGTTTTTCTGGGCATTAATTGGTTATTGATCTAATTCAACAGCAAAGAAATGCAGGTTCCACAAATCCATTTGACTGGGACTGTTGGAAGCTGCATTTATAGTTTCTCTGTAAGGATAAGACAACTAGGCAAGGCTTTCAGTAACATTGGATGTAGGCAATGACAAATGACAACCCTGATTTGCACGCCCTAACAGCAATACCCCAGTGGTCCCCTTGATTCATGTTGGTTGAATGAGTCAAATGACTCAAATCCATTGTTTTGAACCAGGTTGTATCCAGAGTGGCCAGCCAATTACCATGGATGATCTCTGGCTCTACTGATGTGCTTTTCTCTCTACCAGGAGACCAGGAAAAAAAGAGAAAGGAGAGGTGGGTGTGGGGATGTAAATTGTAAAAGACCAAACACAACCGAACAACCATAAACATTCAGGATTCATGAATTTCTAACATGGGTATCAAAGCAAGCAAGTCAAAGATCAATCAGGGTATGAAAAAAGAAATAAGGAAATAAAAATATAGTAACAGAAGATGAGATCGTGAGGAAGATCTTCAAATCCTTACACAAAACCACCATGAAATGGTGGATTTTTTAAACAAAATTGATAAAAAAACAAACAAATCATTTGTACAGAAAAAAAAAGAGAAACTCTTGATGGATGAAAATTGCCTCTAATAATCTCAGTCATACCTCCTACACCTCCAAGATGATACTGAGAAAAGGGCTCGTTCTTGCCAGCAGATTACCAAACAGCCATTCTCCTCTTTGATCTTATAACCATCACAACCATAGCTCTGCAACAACCTCCTTGCCTGCAGTTGACCATAGTAGCTCAAGGGCACCCTGCCAAATCCGGCTGAATCAAGCCTTTGAATCCATATCTCCAGTTTCTCATGCCTCTCCTTCCTCTCTGCTCCCTCACAAGCTATAATGTTCTTAATTTCCTCCCCAAAGAGCATCTTCTCCACCTTCATTCGCTCCATCGATGCCCTGGAAACTGTTGACTCCAAGCAATCAAAAAGTGAAGCATAGAAGTAGAGTGCTTCCAAGAGCCTCTCCATCAGGGTTGACCCATTATGGTTGGATTCTTGCTCGGTCACAACCATGAGTTTTGGAGATAGGCCCCAAAGAGCTGCAAGGAAGTTCTCTATCTTTGCTGAAGCAGGCAAAGATGGTGGAGATGATGATGCCGAGTCAGGACTCGGGCTATACCCATTGACCAAATCTTTCTCAAGCAAATCACCTAGAGTGCTCTGGTTCATCTGCAGGACTCTATGTAGGGGATGGACTGAATTTGTGTTCCTTGCTAGGGGAGGAGATTTCTTACTAAGGGTCTCATCATTGGTTGCCAAGAGGGAATGCAACTGGAGGACAGAGCTGATTGCAAGAGCTTCTCCTGTCTTAACACGCAAGCTTTCAACATCAAGATTGTCCAATTTGCTAACAATGGGATTAAATTGAAATGGAATGTCCAACTTCTCAGCTTCTTCTGTCAAACGAAGAGCTGTCTGCTCCAAAACCTCCTTCTGTTCATGAATGCCGGTAATTCTCAAATGGGGTGGACCTTCTGGCCGTGCACTCAAGGCCTGGATGAGAGCAACCCACTGTGCAGGCTCTGCGCAATGGAGATCAATAATATGGACCATCTTCTCCCCTTCCATAGCTTCTATAATGGCCTGGTTGGTGATCACGATTGCAACCTTTAAGAATGGGCACAGCTCAAAAAACAGCCTCCGAACAAGAATTCCTTCGGAGATTGAAGCCAGTTTGGTAGAATTAAGGGCTCTGTGCAGACCAGGCCATGCTTTCAGAATCCGGTCGGCCAGCGCCTCCGTGAAGTATGCAGCAATGCGCTGCATGGTGTCGCCTTCAGGAGAGGCAAGGTGGGAAATTTGCTCGAGACCAATATTTGCATGTTCAAGGTTACCGGTGGCGACATGATTCGCACAGGACAATAAGAGATGGATCAGATATAAACCTCGCTCCTCGGATTTAAGCTCCCTGAGCCAGGGATAGGGTGATCCTAAGCTAGGGGAAAGTGACATCAGTGAGAAGAACTGAAGGGGTGATGAAGTTACAGATGATGATCCCTCATCTTGAACCATTCCTGCCATTAACCTACCACAACAACCTTTCCTATACAGAGCCGAGAACTTCTTTCTTTCTAATAAAGCAGAGCCGAGAATTGCAGAAAACAGATAGCAACCAATGAACGCAGAGGATCTAAGCTAGTTGGGTATCAAAAACTTCGTGCACCTTAGGAGAATTTGCAGAATGAGCTGCCAAGAAAATGGGTAATTCTCCAAGTGCAAGATAAAGCGAGTCAGTTGTCGGTCGAGAACTATATCTGAATCGAAAAGAAGGCCATTTCAGTGAAATTTTTTCGCCAATATTGAGATTGACGAAACCATGAACTGGGTTCCAAATCTTTCAAACGAAATATCAAAGATGGTAGTTGCGTATGAGAACAAAAACCGTCGAAGGAACAGTTAATTAACCAGGAATTTTTGAAAGAAATTGAAGAAGAGGTACTACACAAGCGTCAAATAAGACAAAAGACATCAGAAATGATAAGTCATGAGACAGACTCAGATGGGTATCTAATAGTTGGATAATTCAAAAGAAATTGAGCAACAGACAGACAGATGGAGCGGAGAACACTACCAGAAACGCAGAAACAGCACGTTAATTCCTCCTCATTCACAGCAGGGAAACCAAGCTGAAGCAACCACGTTAAGAAGTGCAAAACCAGACGTGGGTTTTGAAATTCATCAGAAACCCAGAGAAAGCCCCATGAAAAACCACCTTGCTTGGCATCCAAGTCTTCACCTTTATTCAACCAAAACGGTTAGACAACAGGTTAGGGTTTCTGGGTACTGTAGGTTTTGTTGCAGGAGTGAGGCAAGAGTCATTGAATGAAGGCTCTCACTCTCTCTGCTTTGAAGGACTTTTTTCATGGCTGCGTTGGCGACAATGGGAGGGGGTGCACTTTTGTCGTTATTGATTTGGTGTCGTTTGGGACTCAGAGGAATATGGAATTTGTGAGAGAGCGCGCCTTCACTCTCCAAAAACTGTCGCTTTTTCTGGTTTTGTCTTCACACGACGTGGATGGGGAATAAGAGCCGGACAAAACTTGTTATTATTCCTCATCGATGCTCCCCGCCAAACATGTCCTAACAAAACAAAACAACAGCCCTTGCTTTGTTGCTTTGTGGGTGCGTGTGGGAATTGCAAGGAAGCCTTCTCAGATGCCTCCAAACCTCCATTTGTTTTCTTTTCTACCTCATAGACCATTCAATTGGTATTATCCTCTCATATCAAGACAAAGAGACAAGGAGGTTGCACAACAGGCCAAAAGTAGAGAGCACATTTAACTCCACCCAACAAAAGTCTCGATCTCTAGGTGGCATTGTGCCAATCCTTACAAAAACCTAGCTACTTACTTTCATTCATTCCTTAAACTCATTTTAATAATCTATATTATACTACTCTTTATTAAACTATACTTATCTACATACTATAGTCATGTCTCATATGCCATGTCACCATGACCCATGGCTGTTGTGCCATGTCATCACGTATCGATGACCGGGCCCACTCCCTGGTTGCCACATGTTCACCTGCCTGCCTTAATTATGGGTATGTTATTAGTACAAGTGGAACAGATATAGGCTTGAATTCATACGTTGGATGGCGCTGGTTATCATCACTTACCCAATACTCACATTGATTCTGATCCAGTGGCTGGTAAATATCTCTTAGGTGAAAGATGGGTCCCAACTAAAAAGGGAGGTTGCCAACCAGATTAATGTCTGGTAGGTACCTATATATAGTATTGCCATGCATGCATGTCCTATGCATGAACATGTATGATGTCCCCACTTGGATTACATAGTACCAACTCTACTCCCATGAGCCACATAATACAAAAAAGCTATACCCATTTGAACCCCTACATCAGACATCCTTCATTGTACATCCCTAATCTTGTTTGGCGCATTAGATGTGTGTTCATGCATGATAATAGTAGTACCAGGCATGTGCCACCCATCCACAAGAAATGGTCTCGTGCATGTATGTGATGAAAAAAAAAAAAAAACAACAACTCGAATCAGACCCGACCCGAATAAATAAATGCCATCCTTGTGGGTTGGTTTAGTCAAGGAGATAAAGTCCACTATATAAATGGACTGTTTTAACTTTTATTGGGTGTTTGTTTGGATTAGTTGATGACTTTAGGAAAAGATGGCCATAATTTGGTGAGGTGTTGTACCTTTTTATTGCTGGAGATTGGTTGTTAGTATGTTGTCTTGAGTGGAAGGCATCGGTCCAGAGTCCAAACAGTTTTGTAGGTTTGTGGGGGTGGTTTTCAGCCCAAATCTCCTTTTGAAATGGAAAGCTTTTTCATGGTTTGCAAAATTTAGATGATCAAGAGAAAGAAACAAAAAGTGGAGGACCCAATAAAAGATTTGTGGAAATGTGGTGGGGACTTAAGTATGTTCTTCCAACTTTGGTGGGTTTATTTTACTCTCACCATCTCTTTCTCTCAATCAATCAATCAAACAGGAGGTGTTCAAGGAAAATTGCTATTGGACAAGCAGATCAAAATCATAATGTGGACAAACAGCTATGATCAAACCTTCAAACGGTGTGCCGTATTTGAATTCATTTAAAGGTCGGTCACGGGCTTAAGCTTTGTCAAAAGTAAGACAATTTAAGCGTAACTTGGAGTCAAAAGTTAAGCTCGAGAGGAAGGAGAGGCTGGATGTTTGGCATTTTCTCACGTACTCTTGCTGGGAAGTTGGGGAGAATAGAAATTTTAGCTTTTGTACCGTATGAGCTTAGGAATTAAACTCGGTCAAGATCTGACCTGATTTGATTGTTTTCTACGATGAAATTCAGAAATTCAATGGGTTTGGACCGGGTCTATATAGCCCACCAGTGCCCGACCCGACATCAACCTGAGCTTGACCAATCAATTGTTGATGGGTTGAGTTCTTTCATACCCACAGACAAGCCCCTAAGCTGGGAATGGGTTTCAGAGCCCAAGCTGTTAGCTGGTAATTACAATCCATAGTTTCATATCTCAATTGGGGTTGTCAGAAAACATACAAGAATTGAAGAGGGGAAAAAACAAAAGCGAAAAGGGCTGAGCATCGTTAGGTCAAAATAAAAAATCGAACCGAAATTTTATTTTGTTTTTTTGGTTCATTTAATTTTAGGATATCTTGATTTTTTATTTCGGTTTTCAAATTAAAAAATTTGGTTAATCGAATTAATGTTATAATGAAAATTGGATTTAACTGAAATAACAAAAACTTGAATTGCAAATTTCAGTTTTGATTATTTTAATTTTTTCTTAATTTGGCGTTGGTTCAGTATTCATTCTTAAAATTTTGATTAATTTGGTTTCAATTATTCGGTTTAATTTTGAACGGAATAAACCGATTTCTATTGTGTTCCTGTAAACATCTGTCGGGTCGGACTGAATTGGATGTCATTACTACTCGGGTAAATGTGAATGGGCCAAGTAATTACCAGATGACTAATTGGGCCGACATGCTTGAAGTTTGAATGTACGAAAAGATTTTCTGGGTGGATCGCCTAAATCTATTTGCTACATAAGAAGGTAAACAAGCTGGAGATCTGGACATTCCACCAAACAAGATGACAGTTTGGATTCACCAGTGACCACAAGTTCTTTAGTTATCAGACGTGCCATGTATTGGGCTAGTTTTTGCTCCCTGTAATCCAAGTGCCCAGAAATACTGGTTTAGAGTTTTGTTTGTTTGAGCAACATTGCAAAACCAAGGCATTTGCATCAGAGCATCAGAGACAAGAGAAGAGAACAAGAATGAAGTAAAAATGAATGGTTAATTCCCTTGGAACATGGATCATACTTTAAATTTTTTGGGGTTTTTACTGTGAACATAGAACCATAAGAAGAAGGAAATCGACTACAGAAAACAAGAAATTAACACAGAATAACACCAATGTAGTTTGGCAGTGTACCTATGAAACCCCACAAAGCATTTCACTATTCTTAGAGATCAAGAATTTTTAATTAATTGTAACACACATCAAATATGAGATATTTATGCGAGATGATTCATGAAAACAGAAACCCTAGGAGCACTCTGCAATCATAGGCATCTAACCTAACATTGGGAACATCTCTCTCCATGAATTTAAGATACATGAACTGAAAAACCGATTGAAACTGAACTAAAAAATCGGTTAACCAAATCAGTCAATTCTGTTTTGATTTGATATTCTTAAAAAATTGAAAGTTCCGGTTGATTTCGGTTCGACCAATATATATACAGTAATATTATATATATATATATATATATATATATATATATATATATATACATATATATATTTTTTTTCTTTTTATTTTTTAAAATTGAATAAACCAATAAAACCACTGCCTGTCCTCCTTTTTCCCCCTTTCCCCTTCTTCGAAACCTAAACCTAATAGGCTAATAACCTTTCTCACTCTCTCAATCTCTCTTGCCTCTTCGTCTCCACATCTCAGTCTCTCTCTCTCTCTCTCTCTCCACGGCTCCACCACCTCTCAGGCTCTCACTTCAAGCGACGACAACCACCAACCAGTCCAGCACCGGAAAATCATCGGCCATCACTTTGCCCTTGCCCCTCTATCGTGTTTGTTCAGATATTTCTTTTATTTTTATTTTTATTTTTTTTTTATTTTTAGAATGAATGAATGTTTGTTGAAGTAGGGATGCAAGAGGGAAGGTTTTTTTCCCTTTTTTTATTTTGAGTGCATAAAAAAAATCGAAAAAATGAACCGCGATTAATCGGTCAACCCATTAACTGGTTGCATCAGTTTGATTTCGATTCGGAATTTTAAAAAACTGATCAGGTTGATTTGGTTCAAAAATACCCCACAGTTAACCAAACCATGACCTCTATTATAGTGTTGTGCCTTACCAAAATCGGGGGGGGGGGTACATGTACACATGCATAGGACTTGCACACAAGAGAAGAACACCATATACAACCCAAAAGCTTAAACTATTGGGTTATGAACCACTTTTCATATAAGTTTTGCACTTTTTGTGTTTTTCCAATATGAGACTCTCTTTCCATACACCTACTCATCCTAACACATAACTATATTTTACATGCAACCAAACACCATAAAATTGCAATATTTTATGAAATTATTCTTTAATAACAGTCTGAAAATGGATCCACGTATTCCTCCAAACTATGGTCTTCCATTTCAAAGTTTCTGTCAAACAAGGACAGAATAACAGGCAACGTGAAAATTTGTTATTTCTATCTAAAATGTTTTAAATTAATCAATGCAAATTGTTATTTCTATTTAAAATGTCAAATTTGACATTTCAATAATAAATGGCAATGTTGGATTGCTCGCATGCACTCATATATGATGTGATAATACATTTCTCACAAATTTATATTAATTAACTGAAAAGGCAATGCAACTAACTGTACCAAGCACCCCCTAAAAGAAAAATAACTTTCCTTATCTATGCAAATTTTTATAATTGCTTGTTTAAACCCTTGCACTTTGGGGCATGTTTCGAGTTCCATTTAAGTAAGAACAGACCACTAATCACTAAACTAGGTTGCGTTTGGATGACTCCAAATCTCTTGTCCAGAAGAACTCTGCCCATGTCTATCCACATAACATCGCAACTACAAATAGGGAACATCTCATGCTCCTACATAATATTATGCACGGAGAGATATTTTCAATGCACAAAGGTAGTGTGTTGTGGGTTAACGTGTGCAGGAGATCCGGAGTTGGTTTGGATAGGCTTGAAAATATGTGTTTTGAAAATAAAAAAGCACAAATTTCCAATTTTTGGCTTTGTGATAGAAATGTTTTAAAGCAACTCTTATCAAATGCTCAAAACACTACTTTGCTGGTTCATTCTCATTTTCCATGGCTCAAAGCTGAAAAGTAAATACTTGTCCCAAGGGAGCCTTATCTATTATAGAATGAGAAAATTCTCATATTTC